CCCCCAAGTCCCTCTTGGCAGGGCTGCTCTCGATCCTTTCTTCCCCCAGCCTGTATTGATACTGGGGGTTACCCCAACCCAGGTGCAGGACCTTGCACTTGGCCTTGTTGAACCTCATGAGGTTCACACAGGCCCACCTCTCCAGCCTGTCCAGGTCTCTTTGGATGACATCCCTTCCTTCTGGTGTGTCAACTGCACCACTCAGCTTGGTATCATCTGCAAACTTGCTGAGGGTGCACTCGATCTCGCTGTCTAAGTCATTGATGAAGATGTTAAAGAGCACCGGTCCCAGTACGGACCCCTGAGGGATACCACTCGTCACCGGTCTCCATCCGGACATCGAGCCATTGACCACTACCCTCTGGATGCGACCATCCAGCCAGTTCCTTATCCACTGAACAGTCCACCCATCAAATCCATGCTCTTGGCAGCTGCCCATGCAGCTTCTCAGCTTCACTCCTTCAGAAGCAAAGAGTTTTGAAGGGCAGAGAGGCAGCAACTGGCTCCTGGGTGTTGTTTCCAAATTGTGCCAGAGAGGGTGTTGAGGAGGGTTCACCCCATGGTGCCTGTCTGTGGGGGTAGGCAGCACCACAGTGCAACGCTGAATATTGACTGCACAGCATAGGGACAGACCTAGCAGCACACTGATCCAGCAGGATCTTTTAAAAGGGGATCCACCACAGGCAGAGAAGAGGAAGAGGCAATGGCTCGTGGGCTGACTTCAAAGACTACTGGCTTGAAATAGGATAGTCAGAGAAAGGAGGGCGATTCGGAGCCTGGCAAGTGCCGCAGCCAATAGCCAAGAGAGCAAACTCACCAAGTACAAGATTTCAGCACACAGGGTGTAACAGCTGTGGAGGGGAGGGACAGGCTTATTGCTCTGCAATTGTGGATAACAGACCTTTTTATTCCTCACAAAACATACAAAACTTCTTTCCCCAGAAGGTGCAGAAAGACACTGACAGTGTCAATCCACTTGTCCCCAGCACCCATCCTCTTACAGAGTTGGCATGAGAAGTCTCCTGCCTCTACAAGGCTTCCAGTGCCAGCTCACAAAATGCATTAATTACTTGTACATTATCTAACCCACCCACCACCTTCAGGAAATTCTTTATTTAAGCCCAGCTGCTGAGCCATGACCCAAGTAACGTTTCACTGGAGCCAGGACCATCAGAGTTCTCTCCCTGTCCAGGATTAATGACCCAGCCCAACCAAAAGATGACATCACTTCTATGGCAGGGAGCAAGCATCCCTTTGACCTACTCCTTTGCATAGGGAAGCTCCATCAGTTGTCCCTTGGAGGAAGCAGACACCTGCTTCTCCAACTCCTCCACCACTTTGCTCAGCCGATCCTCATCACAGTAAAAATACACATAAAGATTGCGCTCTGTCTGCAGTCTAGAGCTCTGCAGAGATCTGCGCTTGACCTTCAGGTCACTCAGGAGGTCTGCCAGCATTTGGTAGAGGTTGTCCTGCATGGTGATCAGTTGCTGCATCAGCTCAGTGATCTCCTGAGGGGCAGGAAAATGTGCATGTGAACATGGAGAAAGAGAGGGATTTCCTCCCACCTATGGAACAGCTCAGCCCACCAGAAACAAAATACCCACCTAGCTCTGGCCTCCAAACACATCCAGTCCAAGGAACAGAGGTAGCTCCTTGGGCCACCCTGGCTAAGGCACCCCAATCTCTATACCTAATAGCACATGCGAAGCACAGCGAGAATCACCTTTGTCCGTCAGCCAGCCGCTGCCTTACTGGATAACTTTTGGGACAAGGCAAGGATCAGGCCAACCTCCTCTCCCTCTATGGGCTGAGAGGCAGTAAGTTCTCCCCCCTGCACCCAGGGAGGATGGCGCAAAGGGCTCTGACTCACAGCCCTATGCTAGCCAGCAAGACCTGGTGGAGCAGGAGTCCTTGCTTACCGGAGAGGAGAGCTGCAGCTGGTTGGAGCTGTTGTACAGCAACTGGTAGAGCATTTCTATGGAGGACTCCAGGGCAGGGAGCTGGGGTATAGGAGCTGACAGCTGTGCTTCCAGCACCCTCTGGTCCCAAACCAACTGGGAGCACTGGGCTGCTATAGCCTCATAGCTGTGGAAGGGCTGCTCCTCCTGATCTTTTCCCACCAGCATGTTCCAGAGCCTGCAAGAGGGGACAACCAGCCAGAGGTGTGAGCAGTGTGCCAGTGCTGAGGAAGAACAGGGCTCAGGGGACATTGTGAGCTATGGGACCAAGATGCAAGCAGCTGTGGGGCAACAAGAGGACAGCCACCACTGGTGAGCAGCCCGTGTCCTAGAGGTCTGAGAAGAGCATGTAAGGACCACGCTGGCTCAAGAGCCAGTTAGGGACTGCTTACTGGTAGACACCAGCACCAGCTACTCCAGAGCTGTGCAGGGAGGACTGAGAAGCCCATGTCAGTGCAGGACACCCCACCAGAGAAAACTTTTGCTCCTAGCAGCTTGTGCTTCCTTCTGGCCCAGCTCTCCTTCTCCACGGCTGAAGATTTGCTTCTACACTCTCTGCCTTCACATCCTAGGAAAACCTCTGTTCTCTGTACTCATTCTCTTCTCCAAGCCCATGCTTTGCTGCATCAACCCTAGCCAGCCAGGAAGAAGCAGATGCCACCTTCTGGGGAATTTCACACCACCATGGTCAGGGAGGCTCTGCACTGGCAGCGGAGCACTGCTAGACTGCCTGGTAGCTTGAGTCTGCAACATGCCTCTCCCATTCCCATTCTCCTCCACACCTAGTTTGTTCCTCATGCACACACACACACACACACACAGGCCTTACCGTACAGCAGAGAGGTCTTTGGGCATGCATGGATGACCCTTCTGAGAGGAACTGGCATCTTTGAAGTAGTTCTGCTGCTCCTGCAGCCTGGTCTGGGCTTTCCTCATGGCAGTTTTCATCTCCCTCAGCTGAGAAGCCTTCTGATCCAGCTCCTTTCTCTCCCGTTTCAGCTGGAGCTCCAGCAGATCCAGGCGGCTGTGCTGGTTCACCACCCATGCAGCCACCTCCTCCTGCCTCTCAGCAATGTACTGCAGATGGGCAGCTTCCAGGCTGAGCTGCCTCTGCAGGATGGGCAGGCAGGAGAGGCAGGCCTCTGCCCTCAGCAGGGGTGGCAGCTGGTGGGTCAGGGTCTGTGTGATGTCGCAACGTAGGGCATGAAGCTGCTTCTGAAGCATGGCTGCCTGGCTCTGCAGTTCTGCCTCCACTACGTGCTATGCAGGGGGAAGACGAGACAGGCTGGTGTCAGGCCACACCGCTAGTGCTGCATGGCTCTGCCACTCCCTCCTGACACATCAGCTGTGCTCCAGCATTCAACAGGAGGGACTGCCCACAGCACAGGCAGACCCTGCCACAAACGGTGGAGGAAAGGGAGCATTGGCCCTACCTGGTTCTCCTCAAGAGCTTCCAGGGTCCTTTGGGCCCACTCCAGCGCAGCACAGTTGCCTTCCACTTTTGCTGACATGACTATAACCTCCCTCTGGGCACAGATATGTGCTTTCTCCATTCGGCTCAGCTCCTTACAGAAGCTGTCTTGGTCCCTCAGTAGCTCATCTCCACCAGTCCCAAGACTTTTTGGCATCGTTGTTTGCTTGGCGTCCATTCTCTCTGTGGCTTTCTGGCTGCTATCGCTCTCGTCCTCATCCCTCATGCTCAACACCTCTCTTCCATTCATCCCCTCCGCTAGCAGCTCTGCCCTCGAGCCTTGGACCCATATTCCCCGACTTGCTGCTACCACCCCCCGTGGTGTCTTTGCACACTCTTGATAAGGAGCTCCTCTTCTTCCTTCTGGTATTTCCCAGTCTAAGTCCATCTGTGTCCCAGCCTTCAACGTTTCCTTCAGGCTGCACTCTCTCTCTGTACTTGCTCCCTGAGCACCTGGAGCCTGGACATTCCCCAGTAGGACCTGCTGGATGAGCCTCTCATACATGTCAGTGGCCTGTTGTTCTAGCTCCATGTAAGGAGCGAGATCCATCTCACATAGCAGTTCTGGTGGCCGGCCTTTCCCCACATCCTCATGCCACTCGGCCAGCTGCTTTGCAGCATTGCTGATCTGGCTCAGGACAGCACTGGTTTGTAAGATCTCCACTTCCAGGTCCATCTGAGCCTTCCTCAAGTCCTGCTTCACCGCTTTTTCCTCCTCCTCCAAATACCTCAGCTCCTGCTGCAGTTTGGCTACCCAAACCTGCAGCTTGCTATGCCGCCAGAGCTGACGGTCATGGTAGTCCTTTAGTTCCTGAAGCTCCTGCTGCAGGGCCTCCAGAGAGGGACCCTCATTATCTGGTAGCACACTTGGGAGCTGTGGGACCTGGCAGCACATCTGCAATGCCTGCTCGAGGGCATCGCCTTCCAGGATGGGCTTGCCTGCAGCCACCAGGGCTTCGTAGGCCTCCACCTCAGCTGGGCTCAGCACATTCTCCTCGCTCACCGTGCTGCAGAACCACTCGAGGAACTGCTTTGTCTGAGGGCAGTCAAAGAGCCAGTCAAAGTCCTTCTCACATAGGGTGTCTGCATGGGGGTAGACCAGCCTCAGCGTTGCCACAAACTGTGCCCCTCTGTTGACTCTGTCCAGCGGGAAGGCCTGGGAGTACCCCTGGCTGAACATGGCAAGGATGGTCAGCACTGGAAGAGAAAAAGCAGGAGTCATCCTTAAGGGTCCTGACACCCACAGCTATCTCAAGGGTGGTGCAGCAGCACTCCTAGCTGCCTGCTTGAGGAGAGACTCAAGCAGTCTCTCCACAAGTGCTGCAGACCAGCTCGTGGGGTACAGCATTGCTACAGTGAGGTACAAGATAAATGAGAGCCCACAGAGCAAGGGAGAAAGCCTGCCTGTGTCCCATTTCCAGATGGCCTCCACCCCAGGGCCATACAGGTCTAGCCCCTTTGCTAAAACATCTTCAGCCTGTAAGATACACCTATCAGAGCAGGCTTTTTCAGCCTACCTAGTTTGCTCCATGCCCTTTCTGATAACCAGCTTTCCTTTCAAATACCTCTCTCCTTCCTGCCTGTGCATTGCATCCTCCAAATGTTCTGCCTCTGGTCCCAATCTGCCCTGGGCCAGCTGAGGGATGAGCACCCTATCTCACTGAGAACCAGGCCAACCCACTGTCTCCATTTGGGTTTTGAAGGTACGAGCAATGCAGCGGCCCCCCCTTGGTGTGAAGATGGTGATTGAAGCTGTCTGCATTATGAAAGGAATCAAGCCCAAAAAGGTGGCAGGAGAAAAACTAGGCTCCAAGGTGGATGACTACTGGGAGCCAGGCAGGGGCCTTCTCCAGGACCCAGGGAAGTTCCTGGACAGCCTGTTTAAGTACGATAAGGTAAGTGGTGGCAGAGGGAGGCTGTGATCAGGGATCAGGTATTGCCTCACAGAAATCCTTCTCACAGCAATGAAGCTTAAAGCTCCTTGTGGGCAACAGCACAGAGGATGAGGGTGTATTTCATCTGGAAGCCTTTACATCAGCTGGATGCACTTCATTGCCTTGAGCAATGGGACCCAGATGCACCAGTCTTCCCCTTCTGTCCCTCTGCTCTTTGCATGCTGGATGGAAGTGGGATGGGATGGGATGGGATTTACCCAATCCCACAGCCGTGCCTCCCAGGCCTCAACATGCAGCAATTTGATTCCTCTTGCTCCAGTGCGATGACTTGACCACCCTGCCAGGTCCCAGGGCAGGCCACAGCCACTGGGGAAAGCCCTTTGAGACCCTCCTCAGTCAGATCCTCTAACACCCTCTTCACCAATCTCCTTTCTCTCCCACCATTCTTTGCAGGACAATATTGCGGACACCGTGATCAGGGCCATCCAGCCCTACATTGACAGTGAGGAGTTTCAGCCAGCTGCCATCGCCAAGGTCTCCAAAGCTTGCACCTCCATCTGCCAGTGGGTGCGTGCCATGCACAAGTACCACTTTGTGGCCAAGGTCGTGGAGCCCAAGCGGGTAAGAGGCAGCATGACCTGGTTGCTCTAGGTGTTAGGGAACGCAGTACCAGCAGTGCCCTTCTGTGGGAGATGCTGAGAGTCACCATGTTCTGCTGGTCAGAACGTAGTGTTCAGACCAAGCCTTAGCAGAGCCAAAGCCTCAAAACCCGGTAACATAATAAAGTAGAATAAATCAGCCTAGAATACGCTGGGACAGAAGCGATACCTTGTTCTTAGTGCCAAGTTCCTGTACTTAGAGAAGCATTCCCGCATCTCACTACTGTTTCAGCCTTAATCCTCTCCAAGCCTAGCTATTTCTTTATTATTATTTTGGGGCAAGCAGAGGAACCTTTCCTCCTGTTCACCAGTGGGCCACATCCTGAGCTTGTGTAAGCTAGCACAGGCTCTTAGGTTTTTGGAACTATGCAGAAATGCCCTCGTCGCCCCTACTTTTATTCCTGGGCTTGCAGAACATCCCCATGGATTTGGGCAGGTCAACGTTTGTCACACAGAGAAGAGTCTCAAAATCAGCTAGTGCTTTTATGGAAAACCAACTCTTGCCCCAGGGTCTCTGGCTTTTTGGGGAGGAGCCTGGCCACATGTCCAGCATATCCACTGTTTCCTTGTGTATCTCCCCAGCAAGCCTGGCGGGAAGCAGAAGAGGACCTGCGTGCCACTCAGCAGGTCCTTGAGGAAGCTAAGGAGCGTCTGAGGGAGGTCGAAGATGGCATCGCCATGCTGCAAGCCAAGTACAAGATCTGCATAGCCAAGAAGGAGGAATTGGAGATGAAGTGTGAGCAGTGTCAGCAGAGACTGGGCCGTGCCGATACGGTAAGGGACAGAGCTAGGTTCTGCCTGCTTACATGAGACAACCTCATTTCAGGTCAAGGAGCACAGTGGTGAAGACATCTATGTGCCTTGCAACTCATGACAATCCTAGGTTGAAGCTGACTGGCCAGATCTCAGCAGCACAACAGGACTGGGGAAGCTATGCTAGCCAGGCACTGGTATGAAAAGCTGCTGTCCTCCTGTGCACAGCTTCTTCAGGCAGCAACACATCTCCAGGACAGCTGAGAGTAATCCCAGGATTAAGTGTTCAAAGCTGGGGACAGAATTCAGGATGTGGCAGGGGCTACACTGTAACCTCTGATCACTAAAGTCACCTGCAGCATTACCCAGAGAGCAGCAGGTCCAGGACACAAGGTTAGACCACAGAGCAGCTCTCATGTGTGCAACTTATCCCACAGCTCATAAACAGCCTAGCTGATGAGAAGGTGCGCTGGCAGGATACTGTCGAGAACCTGGATTACAAGATCAACAACATCACCGGGGACATGCTGGTTGCAGCTGGCTTTGTGGCCTACCTGGGCCCTTTCACAGTAAGTGTGCAATGTTCCCTGTGAGGGGCTTGGTTAGCTGCTCTGCTCTCGTGGGCTCCTCCTGTTGCTGGCCAGATCCACTGGGAGAAAGAAATAGGGAAAAATGGTGCAAGATCCCTTCTGGATCTCTCTCCATTTGTGCCAGAGGCTGCACAGGGTCCCATCTGAATGGAAACAGGAGGGTTCAGATGCTCACAGCAAACTAGCTGCAACTAGAAGAAAGGCTATGATGGTGCTTCTCTTGGCAGGGACCCTACCGCACAGCACTGTGCAAGGAATGGCTGAGGCAGCTGTCAGAACACAACATTCCTCACACCAAGGAGCCAAACCTGATCAGCACCCTCGGAGACCCTGTGGAAATCAGCTCCTGGCAGGCAAGTTGCAGAAAAACCCAACACTTGAGGCTGAAGGTGCGTCAGGCAAAGGCCAAAACACTCAGCTCACCTCTCACTACACCTGTACCAAAAGACAGGCCCCAGCCAAACAGCTCAGTAACAACCACACGTCTCCACACTGCAAAGCTGGAATCGCTGCTGGGGCAGCAGGACAGGACCTGTCAGCATCCAGGGCAGCAGCAGCAGCTCTGAGCCTTGACCTGTAAGGCTTTACAAACCACAGGCTTAGAGCAAAGCCCTGGCCATAGCCTGCCCAAGCCTAACTCTGCCATCACAGCTGTGTCCCACAGCTCAGCCACTTCAGGCAGAGCTGCAGCTCTGGGCTCAGCTGCTATTAGAGATACCCTCACCACCATTCCCTGGCCACCACACTGGGACCAGGGCAGGAAGGGCTTCTCTCTGGTCAGCTGTGTTGTTCTACCAGGTGTGCCCAACAGCTTTTTTTACCTGTTAGATTGCTGGTTTACCCAATGACACCCTGTCTGTAGAGAATGGAGTAATAACACAATTCTCCCAGCGCTGGACTCACTACATAGATCCCCAAGGACAAGCAAACAAGTGGATCAAGAATCTGGTAAGAGCTGTGGGGAGGAGAGACAGGTCTGCCAGGATAAGGGAATCAGCTTTCTGTTAGAAGCTATGCAGAGCAGCCTCAGGCTTTGGGCTCCAGAGCTGCAAGACACTGTCCCAGCCCAGCCTCACCAGCACCAGAGAGGCTCCACATCCATATTCATCCCAGGTAGATTTCCCTGCTTGGGGAAATCAGCACAGGGTGGAAGGGGCCCTGCTGTAAGCAAGTGAGGCATCAGATTCCCACTCTGGCTCTCCACTAGCATTCCAGGGGCCTTACATCTTTCACTGCACTCTAAACCACATAGAACAAAACTAGCATCTCCCATAACAGCCTAGGGTCCCTAGGATAGAAGGGATCAGGGTAGTATTACCTGGCTAGGGAGCACAGTCCCTGCTGCCAGAGGGCTGGGAACACAGACCACCACTTCTTCTCTTCCTCCAGAGAGAAACCCACTGCCCTTTTGAAAGGTCAGGCAGGTGGCTTGTGCAGCTGCTCCTGTTTTGCTCCCCCAGGCCTTTTCCCACTCACCTGCTCTCACTTTGCAGGCAAATGAGCTCTGAGTTACCAGCGTGGGGCTCTTCAAAGAAAGTTCTCCCTGTTCTGCCCCTTCCTGCTGCCTCATTGAGCTGTCTCTAGTGCCTGGTGACATGGACTAAACTTGCCAAAATAGCCAAAAACTAGCTGAGCAAGAAAATATATTGATTTTGCTGCTCCAGGGAGCCAAATCAGCCCAGTGAGAGGTGTACTATGCACCAGAGCTGGATGTGAAGGTGGGCAGGACACTGCAGGGACCCTGCCCTCTCCTGCTGCCTTTCAGGAGAAGGTGAACAGCCTGGAGGTGGCCAAGCTGAGCGACCGGGACTTCCTCTGCAGTCTGGAAAATGCCATTACCTTTGGGAAGCCCTTCCTGCTGGAGAATGTTGGATACCTGGCTGGGCTGTAAGGGGGCATCCGGCCGGGGTGCAGTGGGTCATGGTGGGTTTGTAGGTCTCTCTGGGCAGGCAGCACTCACATGGATGCTGCCTGTTCTGTGCTCTCATGTCTTGGCCAGGGCTCCAATGTGTTGTCAGCCTCCTGTACACCCAGGTCTCCTGACAGCAGGCATCTTTGCCTGGGACGCAGGGCCATGGCATACAGCTGCTCTATTCAAGTTCAGGTTTTCAGGTCTGCTGGGTGGCTTTGAGATCCTCTGTCCGGAGAGCCTTCAGACTCTCTCCTCACTGCAGAGCCCAGGGCACAGCGGGATGCCTTCCCTCACAAGAGGTAGCTGTCCCAGCCTTCCTGTATTTGTCCCTCTCCGGTACAGACCTACAAGCAGCAAGGCAACACTGTGCTGAAGCTGGGGGATACGGTGATCCCCTACCATGAGGGTTTCAAGATGTACATCACCACCAATCTGCCCAACCCTCACTACAGCCCCGAGGTCTCCACAAAGCTCACCCTCATCAACTTCACCCTCTCACCCAGGTACCTGTTTACCCATTAGCTTCCCATGCTGCTCAGCCTCATTCCTCACCAGCCCTCAAACCCTCGGGCCTGTCACACCCACCTTCATCTCCATGGCTTTGGTTGTAGTGGCTTGGAAGACCAACTGCTGGGACAAGTGGTGGCTGCGGAGCGGCCTGACTTAGAAGAAGCTAGAAACCAGCTAATTGTTAGCAATGCTAAGATGCATCAGGAGCTGAAGGAGGTAGAAGATCAGATCCTGTATCGGCTCAGCACTTCTGAAGGAAACCCTGTAGATGACTTGGAGCTCATCAGAGTGCTGGAGGCGTCCAAGCTCAAGGCAGGAGAGATCCAGGTGAGAATGGAGGTGCTCTCCCCCTGCAGCTGTGCATCCCCTGCCAGCACTGCACTATGACATCTCTTCTGTCCTCCAGGCCAAGGTAATGTTGGCAGAGCAGACAGAGAAGGATATCAACA